GCGGGAGTATGCCCAACAATTGGTCTACATTCCTGAGATGTGATGACAACAAATCAGAGGGTTTCCATTAATTGTAAACGAAGTAGTTGAGAACATTGACACAAACCACGGATTGTTTGTAGGGTCTCTGGGAGACGGAGCTGTAGCAAACCAGTATGTAGATCTGCAGCCATTGCTATGTAACATGGAAGAGGCAGATGAACGTATGCTTGTTCATGTTAAACATGCTGCTGAAAATTGTCCACGCATTCTTGTCAAGACTGTAGACAGTGATGTTGCTGCTATTGAGTTGTCAGCTTTCCACAGATTACCTGCATGGCATCCAGGAGCTTTGGCTCGAGGGGAAGCACTTAAAGTACATTCCAATACACAAGACTGCTACTCCAGTTTAGAGCTCTCTGCCGAACTTTTAAATGTCACCAAGGTATTAATTCGTTGTGGACACACAAACCAGTGGCGGATCCAAAGTGGTGAAAGAAACGTAACAAAATACTACTGGGTCCTGGCTTAGGAAATTCATGCTAACTAGATGAGGATCCAGACCTTCGCCCATTTTGCCCAGGCAGGGTGAGAAATCAAAATAAAATGTTGACCATTTTTCCAACAATCATACTTACTTTCCTTGACACTTATTTTGAATATTACCATTAGGAAAATGTTTTAATCCACCCTATCGTATACCTTACACTTTTACACTGATTGTACCAGAGAGAGGCACATTCCTAATAACTTATGGTCTTCCACTTCTAGCGCATATGCATAGCAAACGTTATGTAACCACATAATACTCAGGTCCAGTGGCGTAGGTATGGGCAGTGCAGTATTGGGGCTCGTTCAATAGGTCTAATCTGGTCTAATGATCTAAAAATATAACTTTAAAAAATCCCTTATTTAAACTTTAAAAGGACCCTTCAATAATATTAGGTTTTAGAGGCTACAGTATAATATTGATTATTCATTACAATTTACCACACGCTGCAAGCAAAAAAAAACCCCAACAAAACAAGCCCTTACATACGATGTACTTACTTTTTGAAATCACATTTCTAAAGCAATAAAATATCGTCACGCACATTTTGTGTTTGTGGTATTTTAAAGTTGGTTCAACTATTATTGTGTACGTTTTTAAACACTTCAGATCATCATAACTTCACGAATACATTTTAGATTCACTTCATTGCAAGTAGGTTGATGAATGTTGTATTATTGAATGGCAATTGTTATTATCGTGATGGAATAGACAATACCTGGATATGCATCAGGAGAATCAATTAGGGGGCCTATATGTATTTTGCCCAACCTGTCTTGAATATGTATTGAATAGGCCTACTCAGTGCGTGATGCACTAATGTATTTTTTTGAAATCACATTTCTAAAGCAATAAAATATCGTCACGCACATTTGTATTTGTGGTATTTTAAAGTTGGTTCAACTATTATTGTGTACGATTTTAAAAACTTCAGATCATCATAACTTCACAAATAAATTTTAGATTCACTTCACTGCAAGTAGGTTGAGATGACTGTTTTATTATTGTAATTGTTATTATCGTGATGGAATAAACAATACCTGGATTTGCATCAGGAGAATCAATATGTGTAATTTTGCCCAACTTGTCGTGAAAATGTACAAGCAAGGGTAATCTTGCAAATAGTAATAACATTTTATGAGTTTTTAAATCTTTACCATCAAAATCGTATTTTCCCGTATTTAAAATTTCCCGTATTTAAATTTTCGCTTTCGTTCATACAACATTTAGTTGCTTCACTACATTAGTAAGTTCGCGTGTTACGGACGATCCGCACATAAGACGAACATGATTATAAAAATCTAAAATATGAATGTCGTGCGTATAAGACGACCCCCTTTTTTTTAATCGTAATTTGCTATTTTAAGCCACGTCCAATTATACGCGAGTATATACGACTTGTTTTAAAACCCTAGGTTACCTGAGCGTTAGTCATACAGTGGCAGATTCAAGGGGGAAATTTTCCATGGAGAGGACCCCAACCCCTTTTATTTTGGGTATTTTGGAAACGTTTTGAACCCCTCCCCCCTTTCAAATCCTGGATCCGCCCCTGCGCAAACTGTGAACTTGGAAGCTGCAAATGCAGAAAGAATGGATTAAGATGTACCGAATTGTGTGGTTGCCAGGGAAAATGTTAGACAAGACCTTACAAGAAGTATCCCTGTGTTCATCTATGTAAACATTAAACATATGTTAATAATTACGAACTATAATTTATGTATATTTGCTTAGAAATAACATGTGAAACTATGAGAATGTGTATATGTAATAGAGATACAGCATAATTATAATAATTGTCGCAGTCATTAAGACCTAATGAAAGTTGTTTTGGTTGCTTTAGTATATAATATGTATCCATTTTTTAAAAAAGTAAAAGAAATTCCTCAAATAAACGTGCGCCCCCCCACCCCACTCCCTGAAAAAGCCTTCTGAACAATAAACACCCTGGGGTGCCTATTTGAATAAATACAGTACCTGACATACCTGTAATAACACACTTCACAGGTTTCATTGATAATTCCAGCACCTGCATCCATTGATGCCAAAGATATAAAAAAAAATTGAAGCAGTGGCATATCTAGGGGGGTTGCCCGGGTGGGGAGGCTCCCTTCCCAAAAAAATCACGGTCTAGTTAAAAATCACCTAACATCACCTTATTTTGCGAATTAGCACACTTCAACTGATCATCGAGCCCCACACTTCACCTTCGCGCCTCCATTTCAAGGCTTCTAGATTCGTCACTGTTGCAAGGGGCAGAAGGATCCGACCACCCAAGAAATAACGCTAAGCTACACCCTCTCGTTTTGCTCCTTTTAGGGGCGTTGAGGAGTACACATCCAGATACAGGACTCTAAGAACCTGGGAAGTGTCCAGGGGGTGAACTACTCCGTGGAAGCTTGGACAATGTGGGTGTCCCATTTTCTCATTCAACCCCAAAATAACTTCCCGCATTTTATCAAATTTGTGACTACCATCAATCTTGGCAATAATTTGTAGGACTCTAAAAATCTGCTCCATAGAAACCTACTGCAGGTAATTTTCTTTCATAAAAATTTACAGAATATTTTCCTTTGGAGGATTATAGCACATTTAAAAATACAAAACAAATAATTGTTAAATGATTACTAGACCAAGGTCAGTTTAAGAGTTTAAAGGATTCAGAAGGTCAATATATACAGTATTGTTGTAATGTGTGTAAATGCGAAAAGAAATTATTGAAGTTGACACTTGAAGCAGCAGGAATATTGCATCCTGGAAAGGCTGTACAGTTTGCACTTTTTCAAAGTAACATTTTTTTAAACACAACTTGGATACCGAGCCGTATGGCCACACACATTTTTAAATCCCATGTGGTCTCCAATTGGCAGGTGAATATTATAAGAATATAGAAGATGTTGTTCATAGTGCCATATAAAAACATCTGGCTCATGTGCACTTTAAAGAACCATTCGCATTTTTCGGAACAGTGGGTGGTTACCCCGATGCTACCCCATGGTTCATTTCATTCCTTGTCGTTGTGGAACGATGTGAACAGGTAGCTACAGTACTTTAAGTGCGTCTTATGGCGGCTGGTTGTCACGGACCACGCCCATATGCAATTCATGACAATAATGTTGCGAGCTATGGGTTATTCTCCTACCTCCTACATTTATTCAAATCAACGTTTGTGGAGATTTTTGAACTATGTTTGTTTGTCGGGCTTATAAGACGACACACCCCCCCCCCCCCATTTAACATTCAGAATTCATAAATTTTGCAGCTATTATGGTCTTGATACTGCATCTAGCTGCCTAAAAACAGAGCCAAATATTATTTCGTTTAGCAAAACTCATCATACTTTTTATTTTACTAATTAATCCAAAATATCACCTTTCGGCTGTTTGCTGGTGCATTGATATTCAAAAGTCCCTTTTAGACAGAGATGCAATACCGCAATTGCGGTAAAGCACGCCGGCATGGGTCAGGTTCTTGTATGAAAGGGGTCGATACGCCAATATGCTGGCTTACTTTAGGCCACATCACACCCTAGTAATATTGCCGCAATATTGCGGTAATGGCTACTGGCTTGCTCTGCCTGAAAGTGTTTAGTCGATATTGCAGCAATCATGGTTAAAGTTGAAAACAATAGTGGTATTTAAACCGGCCAATATTACGCCATTCTATATGGTCTTTCAGATAGAAAAGCATAAGATTACTGCAATATTGCGGTAACAAATGTGCTGTGTGAAAGGGTATAGACCGGTTATTAAGCCAACATGCTTTGCACAATATTGCAGCAAGTTCATCTAAAAGAGGCTAAAGTAAAATACATCTGTTTATTACCTTCTTCTGTGGTACTAAAAAAAAACACATTTTGGGGGAAAAAGGCATTTTAACTTTCACAATTTTAACCTATTTTCCTTCATATTTTAACGTTTGTAATGTATGTGTTGTGAGTATTAGTAGATGATTGTATCAATAAGCATTATTTTTATTTTTTATCTGTGAACAAACTATACCTCTTACTGTGTTTGAAAATAAAGATTGGATTGAGTTTAATAAAAAATAAATGATAGTTTAAATATATTTTATACTATCTAAACATAATTATTTTAACATTTGTCATGTATGTGTTGTGTGTTTTAGTAGATAATTGTATCAATAAGCATTATTATTTTTTTTTTATCTGTGAGCAAAATATACCTCTTACGATAAAGATTGAATCGAGTTTAATAAAAAATAAATGATAGTTTAAATATATTTTATACTATCTAAACATAATTACATATCATATAAAATATTTGATCATATTTAGGGAATAATGTATTGTTATCATCTTATTTATTTTGTAGACTGTAACCATCATAATTTAGTATTAAATTATAGTAGTTGCAGAGTAATAAACAAGATGATAATATTAATAACATAGTAATAATAAAGATAAATTGAGATTAAAACTAACACTAAAATAAATGTTTGAAAGCCTTCTTACCTTAAAAACCTGTTGCTTATCTTAAACACACATAATACAGTATGCAGTTGACAGACCTAATCTCTACAGTTGTTCACTTCCATACGTTGTGTCTGGCCAGGTATGAAATTAAAACAGCATCCAATATTACTTTAGGTATTTGTATTGGATGAATATCAATATTCAATGCTAGCTATTATTGGCCACCTGTTGGAAAAGGACTCAACCACTTTTAAAAAGGGGTAGATCTAATTTATATAATTACTGTACCATCAGTAATCATCAGTAGACTTTGTCTATTTGATTAACAGTTAACTGTACATTAAAGCATTTTGTACAGAAATCATTCTACTATCAAATTTTTCAATTACAGATTATCTCAACTCTAAATATTTACATTGGTTATATCTGGTAACACAAATACAACATTTTATCTTAGGGGAGACTTTTATTAAACCTTGTTTCATGAACTTATTTTTTTAAAGATCGGCAGAGGAGGGAGAAAAACAAATAAAATTTAGTTTTCTCAATTAGGCTAAATGATTTTGCCAAAAACATCTGGATGGAGAAAATTAAATAATATTTTATTAATGAATTAAACAGTGTAGTTAATTAGATTAATAAATGTGTAATGAAAAGAACATCATTTTTGTGAAATTTCCATTATTTTGTAGCAGAGGATGCATTAACTGGCCAAAGATAAAATTGTATTTTTCTATTAAAAATCACTTGTTTTGACGGTTGGAGCATCCCCTAAACAAGGTAAAAAAAGTCTTGCCTTCTGTAAGGTAAGGGTTATTAGACTTTTTATATTTTATTCATGTTTTCTTAAAGAGTGCTTTGATTTTCAGCCACACGAACATGAAGAGATCATAATTTTGATTTTGATTTGGAAACAATCATACCTTGTAGCAGATATATAACAGCATTAACATCATTATCTGATTTATAATATATTCTGAAAATCACGAAAAGTGGACGTGGTCAGGCGTCACTCAAAATATTCGGATAGTGGCTCAAGGGTGAACCCCACAAAAAATACGACAATTTAGGGGTTTTAAAGGCTTACAGTACTTAATCAATTTTACAGATAGATCAAATCTGCTAGGCCTAGTATGTAGAAAATATATAACTTTTTTTCTCCCCAACGGTTGTGGTTCTTGTTTCCAAACAAGGGGCCCGGGGCCTGGCGCCACCCCTGAAGCAATAGTCTGAATTAGGGATAAGTTGCTAAAGCTGCATATTCGCCTCCACATAAAATTACCTCAATTACTTGTTTCGTCTTAGAAAGTACAGTATTAGCACACTGCATTTTTAAAGATTACTTGCACTCTGAAATTAAAGAGCGTAAGTAGTTTATCTATTGCATCAAGATATTGAGACTGAAGTTTAAAGGTGTACTACTGTATCAGTAATGAAATAAAAACATTGAAAATTTTAATTTCACATTTTAATTGCTTTATTTGTATATTTAAGCAAGTTATCATTACTTGTAACTTTTGTTCTGTTGTATGGTCAAACCTCTCCTGCATGAGAGTGTTCCTCTGCTTTGAAAGAGAGAGCCATTAAATTATTATTATAAATATTAAAAATAACTTTCCTATCTTCATTTGAATATCCTTATTAAAATTGGCTGGTGGTAATCAATTTAAAGATTTTTAAAATCTTATTTTTATTCTATTTCAAATCACACCCAACAGCAGATAACCAGCCATTTACAGAATGAATTAACAAAAAAATATAATAGGATTTTTAAATGAGCTATATAAAGTTTTATTTAAATTTGTGAGGTATTTTCCTGTCTTTTTGACTATACAGTAGGCTGACATCTTGAAGGTTAGGGCCATCTTATTCTACAAACTGACATTCAGATTTTGTGTAAATTCCTTTGAACATAAACGTATACTGTACAACTTTATGGTAGGTACTATGGACATCATCATTGGTATAGGGAGTACTGACATTGTAACCGTATTTAGTATTTATTCGCTTTGTGTCTCAGACAAAACAGAGGGAATTTCCTTGCATGCACATGCCAGCAGATTATTCCTATTGTGCACATTTTGTTCCTTTTGCTCATTCTGAGTTGCTATTGTTATTTCAAAGTTGTTTCAAACTGTCCACGCAGCATCTAAGCTGGGCTAGGTTTCTTTCAGAAATTATTGTATAATTTGACATTAAAATTTATATAGCGATATTGATCATGAACTTATTTTCAAATTGTGCACTGCAAAGAATTCCTTACACAGTTTGCAAACTGTGCAAGGAAGAGCTTGCACAATTTGCAATTGTGCAAACGTCTGAAACTGTAAACGACATTCCTAACTACGGTAATCCTCCACTCCTTCTTTGGAGCTTCAGTGAGAGGGGGATTCGGAAGAGCCTTGCCTGAGCAGCCTTCCCTGCAGCCTGGCCATGTTTGCTTGGCTTGGCACACACGTGACACAGGCACGTCTATTTACTATTAATAGCTCTCAGTCTAAGAACATTCACTTAAGTATTACAATATCTCATGCAATGTCAAAACTAATAATCACTCACAAAAATTACCAAGAACATACAGTACTTGAAAGAGGAAAATGTACTAGCACGAGCCTGGGCCTAATGGAAATCTTTTCAAAAACTTTTGTTTTGCATAGACTGCATTCTGTCGTTTAAGGGACGCCATACACAACCGCAAAGAGACTATAATTAGAAAATGTTACACGCCTTCTAATTGGTTAGCCACTGCCAAGTATACACAAAAGAGCCAATAAACTTTCCTATACATACAGGTTTGAAGGAGGCGTACTTCTTACAAAATAGCAGTCGCCGATGTTTAGATCTGGCCTAATACGTGGAGCAAAATTTATAGAAGTATTTTTGGCTTCAAGAATAGGATTCATATTGTTTTGAAATGGTTTGTCACTCACCGATACGCTAAATTCTTGAAATATCTAATTAATATCCATACAGCAAAAATAGGTCAAGCAAGCAAAGGCTAGGCTATGCTAGGAGGAATGACTAGAGGGCCTAGGCCTGGCCCTGGCCCTACGCCCACCATATTAATTAGGCCAGCTAGGCCGGGCCTAGCTTGTTAACTAGCCTAGTTGTAGGCCAGGCCTAGCTAGGGAATTTTCGAGGCCTAAGGCCTAGGACCTTAGTTAGGGAGTAGGTTTAGTAGCATAGGTACACATACTACGTACGATTTCTAGGCTAGGTCTCCAGTTGGGTCTATATGATATTGATATACCCTGCTACTCTGCGGAACAAATAATACTAGGCCTAAGGCCTAGACTAGATAGATAGATTACTACTCTTCACCGTTTTTAATTAACTTCTTCAGCCTTGGTATGGTAAACTAAAAGTGGCTACTGTGGCCTATGCCTATGATGGCCTTACGCTGAGAATGTAGTGCATCAAGAAAGCGAGAGTTACTTTTTAAGTTAAGAGTAAAGCCAAGTCGACCATTCCCTACTGTAAAGATTTTAATTGCTCAGAGGATATCTCACCTCAAATTTGAAAATAAGTACGCGTAATCGTAATTAATGCATAATTCCATTAGTTATATATTAAAATTTGTTCAAAGCCTAATTTTCAGCAAAATCAATGCAGAAATCGGCCCTTATTTTCCAATGTGCAGACGGATTGGTCAGCCAAATTTTTGTGCAAAGGATATATTCCCCACGCAGGCCTTACTATACAGGCTGGGACCAGTTAGCGTGTTGAGATTTAGATCACTTAGTTGACGTAAGCATAGCCACAGCCTAAACTTAAAGTACAATTATAGCAGCCCTACGCTACCACTGTTTAGGGCACATAGAAAAGATTATTAGATTATCAATCTTTTTTTTTTTTAAATTGATAAGGGAGGGCGGTTTTTTTTTTTCAATTAGTAAATTAAATTAATTCGCTTTTGTTTTTATCGATGAGGGAGGGACTGTTTATATTTGGCCTGTACCAGGGCCTGTAATAGTAAATATTGTATAAAAACTGGTTTAATTTTATAGTGTTTTTAAAAAAAAAAATGTATTTGAAGTCACAAAATTGCTTTGTTATTTTATGCTGTTGAAATAATTGATGCAGAAAAATGTTTTTTTATATTCCCGCATCAGTATTTCCCGAATTTTTGATGCGGCAGGTGGGAGTGATAATATAATAAATTTTTTCTATTTGCCCTTATTTGTATATTATTGATGGGCCTAGAACCACCGGGACGTGATACTACTGCTGGATTCAATAATATACGAGATGTTACAGGGGAGGAGTAAGTCTAAGCCCAGCAGGATGATTTAAAATTTAAAAAATCAAATAAATGTGTTAAATTTGAAACACTGTCGCCAACACATTGATTCGTCTGTGTCGAAGTATAAATTAAACAAGTTTATAATAATAATAATAATAAAATTCATATTTAAGAAATATATTCAAGGCTCTTTACAGAATTAAAATAGACATCAAAATTTAATAAATTATTGGGAAAAATTAAAAAGATCCAAAACACAAGTTCTGTTTCTCCCCACCCTGTTCCCCATGTACCTTTATTGTGATTAAAACTAGTGCCATAAAATCTAATGTGCTGTTTCTGTCCTTTAATTTAGTAATAGGTAAATTGAACAATGTGGCCAACTCTAAAAATTATCGAACTATTAAATGTAGTTATTTGATCATATCCAACTCTACTTAATTTGCAGTTCCTGGCTTTATATTGTAAATCAATGTAACGATTTGTTTCTTCTCTTTACAGTCAGCATTATTCAACTTTCAAAGTTTGTTAACAGTTTTACTTTTGCTTATCTGCACCTGTGCCTATATACGAAGTCTTGCTCCGAGATTATTAGATAAGAACAAGGAAGGGTGAGTGTTAAAATGAAGTTCCTCAATCTGCAAGATATTGACCATCAACTACGTTTTACATATTCACACACAGTAGAATGAGCCCACAATATTTGTACAATGATTTGTACATATGACAGATAACCCTAAGTACCTGCTGATGATTTGGTTTCCCAAACTTAGGGTCAGGGTTGCAATCCCTTGCTGTGCAACTTCATTTGTGTCCTTGAGAAGGCACTTTATCTGCGTTGCTCCTCTCCACCCAGGAGTATAAATGGGTAGCTGGTGGGGTTGCCTGCTATTGCGCCAATATGGCAGCAATGTCGCTTGAGCATATGGACCTAATGAACAGGGAAAGCAAAAGGCTTCGTCACCTAAAGAAAAATGCGCTGATAAATACAAAGTAACAATAACAAAATATAGTTTTTGATACAAGAGTATTGACAAAATCTGGCCACACACTGCCAACTTACGACAGTCATATAACTGTCGGTCAGTGAATCCATCTTCGGGTGATGACACAACGTTGACAGGTCGTCATTAAAAATGATCCATGGTGCATGCATTGTTGGGTTGCATTCTCTATGGGATCACTCAGCTGACGACTGTTGGGTACAGTATGTGTCTAGCTTAACTGAACAGTTTGTCTGAGCATATGTCAGTAACATTTCACTAACAAATTCAATCCATACTACTGTATGCCTTTAGAAGAGGATATCTTTTATGAGATTTACCTCTCTTCCTACTGATACTGTATTGACAAAAAAGCACTATTGAAGTAATTATTACTAGGTATTATAACACACCTTAATAGATCCTTGTCATTTGATTGGTGGATTTTGTATCATGTGACATTTGTTATTTATATGTCATCACTCAAAATGAAAATTTAGATCCATGCCATCCATACATTGTTTGTTCCATTTATTTGGTCCCATTGCACACATCCACCTAATACAACGTTTTCATTAGTTAAAAGAAAATGGACTGTTCCATTCTGCAGAAAGGCAGACCTAAACTTTATTTTTCATGAAATATCTGACAATTATCTATTTTGTATAAATCGAGTAATGAATGTGTTGTATTCGTGTAATGGGAAAAATATTCTCAAATTTCATTAGTTGAAAGAGTGACTCCGTTCATCCACCTTGTTGTTGAACCGAGCTGAATCTTAACATTGGCTGACGCTAGCATCTGCTGTGTTTATTCTAAATGGGGTTTTATAGAAGGGGGGGGGGTGTTTATTCAAAGTGGGGTGCCGCTGTTTATTCAAATAAATATGGTAATACATTTGTTAAAATACACCAATACTTTATTGATTTACTCTACATTTGCTATCTATTTCTTTAATAGGTTTCTTGGGATTTTCTGGAAGTGTGCTAGAATTGGAGAGAGAAAAAGTCCTTATGTTGCTTTTTGCTGCGTTGCCATGGCATTCAGCATTCTATTCTGGAGCTGATACGAGAGCAGGAAATATTTCAACAACTTTTTATAAATTATCAAAAAACTTGTGTACATTATCACATAATATACATTGATATGTTGAAAGGCCAATATTAGCAGACAGTCATGCATTTGCATGCCGGAAGATTAACTATGCTGTGTAGGCAATGCCACTAGTGCTCGCTGCCTACACAAGGGAAAGACCAATTTGATATCTACACACAAAATGTCTTGAAATTATGCACTTCAATTTGCATCCTGGGAAAGTTATTTGACATTTTCCAGGTCTGTGCTTCTTTAATACACATAGTTATGATAACTATTGCTGGTACCCATTGATACAGCTGGGTGGATTGAAGGAATGTAGCTAAAAAAAAGAGGCACTTTAGCTACATTGCTTCAGTCCACTTAGCTGTATCAATGGGTACCAGCAAACTGCTGGGGACTAACCTACGACAGACTAGTGTCCCATCCAGGGGGAGTACAACTCTCATCCGCTTCACACTACAGAAACTGGGGATATGCTTCAGCCTTATGGGCCCCAGTGGCTCGGAAATGATTTAGTTTAGTTATGAATAAATACTGCCACAAAACCTCTTGGTTACAGGCTTGTTTTCAATTCTGATCCATTTTTGTAATCTGTTTTTTATTCATTATTTGCATATGGGCCAAGAAGGATTGCCATTCTGAGCTATGTAAAATTAGCAATTTGTGGCCAAAGTTCAAATAATGGATAAAATTGTTTTAGAAAAACAACAGAAAAGGAGCTGTTGTCAACTACCAAGCTATGCTAGAAGATAAGGGGTCAGTGTATAATGTATTGTAGTCTTTTATGGGAAAAAAATCGGATGACCTCAGCCTGACACTTATTTTAATATGTATTCTTTTGGAAGGATGGAATGTGAGGTGGGGTGGGAGTGTCACAGTAGAGAATGTTTTGTACTCATAAAAATTATGAAAAATATGGATGATTCCTAAATATCCACATATAGGTTATGATAATACATTGAGATTCTGATGTTTTATGTAATTATTTCAGTCCTGTGTTAAAAGTACATAGTGCATATCAGTGGTCGCCCCCATGGTTCCTGGATGGTGGGTTGATGAGAGGTCTAAGATCCACAACAAGGACCATACCTACCTCAGATCCACCAAGGTTAAAGCAAATTAGTGCTTCCTGACAAAATGATTGGCTGGACCCCTGAGGGCGCCACCATTGTATAGTATCGGTGTGTCTAATTTAGTCTAAATAAAATGAAGCTACAAAGTTTATTACCACTAATCCCAGGCTAGCACATAGAACATTGCCAACCCATGTATGAGGATGAATGAATCCTGTCAAACTTTGATGTAAATTACCATTTAAAAAAATATATAAATATTTGGTTTATGTGAACTGGTTTGGCTAAAGTGCAGCAGCAAAGTGTGATGAAAAAAATGAAATGTTTTTAAGTCTGTTGCTTTAAAAACTACATCCCTGATTTTGAGAACCATAGGCTCATATAATCTATAACAACTTTTAACTCTTTATATACTGCCTAGTAACATACAGTAATCATCATCATCTTGTAGTCCACAGCAAAACATAACCCTGAAGAAACCTCTCTGTCCATTGCTATTATTGTTATCCCACCATCAAAGCTTTGATCTGCCTCCCTCAAGCCGGTTATCCACTAGGCGAATTTATTCGCGCGAATCGAAATCGTCGGTTCATGCACATGCGCATTCATATCCCTATCGGACATATTTAGTGATAATGTGCCTATATATGGTCATGGTTTTATAAGTCATGACCATATTTAGGCATATCACATGTTTTTGAGGACTTTAAGTTTGTTTTGCATGTAGCAAGTAAAATATTGATATTTATTATTTTAAACGTGTAAAATTTTCTTTAGTATTATAATTTTAGTTGATTCAATATCAGATAAAATTGTTTAAAGCAAAAAGAGAATTGTAAAATATAAAAATAAAACCAGATTCATTCAGTTTTGTTAAATTGTTCAATGAATTATTTATTCAGAGTTAAACATTATTACTACTGTTATATGTTTGTATCCAATTACACACAATGCAACATAAATGAAAGCAATATCAAATCAAAAGTCAAAGTCATAGGTTTATTTCAAATGTCATTTCCCAAACATGTAATTACTCATGTGGAGGGGATACCTTACACAATCCATATGTTAAAATGTTAAGGTTTGACAAAATATATTATGCAAACATATTACATTAAAAATATATTTTGACAAGCTCCCTCAGTTGAGTACACAAATTAACACATGTATCTGTCTTAGTATTGCATACCTTTAATTCAAAAAGGTGTTTTAAGTTGCTTCATTTGAATAACAATACGTAATATAATCAAAAGGGAAAAATGTTTACTGTAAATTAATATGAACATGAAAATATGCATTAATATATAAAAAAAAAAACAAAAAAAAAAACATGGAAATTAAAATTAAATAATAGTTTTAACTGAATATAACTGTTACTATAAATCTTGTTCAGTTAATTAAAATTAAAGCATACGTGTTGCAACAAGTGTCTCATAAGTATCAGTGTTCCTGAAGCAATCTCGGTTCCATAAAGCACAACACAGATATTCAAATCTACTGAATAACCAGAAAAAAGAAAACAAGTAAGCTACTGATGATTTTATACAAACGTGTAAATATTCATAATTATAATGTTTACTCTATAGCAGTGGCAGATCCAGGGGGTTCAACTGGTTGGACTGGTTCGGACGAACCCCCTCTGTGAAGAAACGTAACAAAATACTACTGGTCTTGGCTTACAAAAGGCATGTAGCAGATCGGGCAAATAAAGCTTAGCCAAATGAGTCTTCAATTAAATACAGTAATATTCAAAACAGTTTTTGGTTCGATGTCATAGTAATTAATAAAAAAGTGCGTTCTTCAGGCCTATCATGTCATCGATCCATGAAAGAAAGACTACGTATCAAAATAGGCCTACTCAATATTGTTGGAATATAATAAAACATTGCCTATGTCTTTGTTTTTTTTTTATCTCTATGTATAGGCCTAAGAATGAGATAAAATCACCTGACCTTTTTTTGAGGGGGAAAACCTTGAATTTTGAAGAAATGAAAGACACCTCAGACGTCGGGAAAGCTCATTTCCGGCTATCTTGGAATCAAAACATTCGTTTTGGTGTTTTTTAGAACATTTTGAACTCCCCTCTTTTAAATCCTGGATCTGCCCCTGGTATAGTATCTAGGTAGCTCTTCATGCGAAAATACTTCATTGATAAAAATATAATTAGAAAGATTCTTTTTAATAAGTTACAGTATAAATCATATAAATTGTTTTTATTCTCTGATTTCAGTCATAAATCTCATAAAAATCCCCAACACATCCACTGCCTTTTTGTTTACATAGTGCACTCATAAAGCCAATCACTGAATGCAGACCTATAATAGGAAGGCTTTATTTCAACGAGGAAGATGAATTTGGCATTTGAAAATATGATATTGTAATTAAAATTTTTTTTTATATTTTAACCAAATTTTACAATTTTTTGTTTATAGTAACCAAATATTATGCAACAGAAATTAAATCTGGGTGTTGTAATGTTTTATGTACTGCAATATTCCATAAACTTTTAAACTGACGACCCAGGAGATTCAAAATTCAGTTGCGACCTCTTATGCACAAAAGAGTAATTTGGGTAGAGCACAGCCGAGGCCTACAACGTGCTTAGGATGTTTTATTTCAGTGTATTTTACTCTCCCTGCTACTATAGTTGTTTGTTTTACATAAATATGTAATTAAATTTTAATTTATTAATAGTCTTGCATTATACGGTTCAATTACACTAAATATTATTACAAAATAACATGTGTTTTCATGTATATAAATACCGATAATAATAGAGTGAAAAAGCTAGCTGATTTTTTTATCAAATTATTTTAGCAAACCACTGGCGGGTAGCAACCACATTTTGTGGAAATTCTTTGCTCTATGGTGGAACATTGATGTACTGTATTGTGTTCAGTACAGCTGTAATATTTATAACATAAATGCTCTACAGTTTCAACTATTACCTTGCAAAAATATCAAGGCAATGTCAATTTTGGCTAAAAAAAAATTACATCTAATAAAATTTTTAAAAAAAATGTATTTGTTTGAGACATTTCTCTACTTAAAATCTAAAAAAACTTATTGAGTATAATACAAGTAACCTTCTGTAACTATTCTGAGCACCAAATCATTAAGTATGCCTGAAATAAGCGTGACATCTAAATGTTTAAATATTCCTAATCCATGTGAAGTAGTGAACTAACACATGCAGCTGTTTACTATATGTAGCAAGAGAAATAAGCTTCACTTTTAAGCTCTCCTACATACTCTTTTTAAACCAATTTATATTTGTTGATATCAACAACAAAGGCACTACAGTATTTGGTTTATCATAAAACATTTCAATTAAATTCAATGGTGTTCATTAACTACCATTTTCTGAATATTCCATTAGCTGATTATAAAAGAAATGCTCTTCACAAACTGAAATGCATACATTAAGCCACAGATTAAGCCTATTACGCAAACCCCCATAGCCAAAGACAGATGAAATCTCATAGCTAGTCCAGATGCAACTCCATTGCCACTCGATTGCCAGCCTTGAAACAAACCAAAACCCAGCCTAGAGGGAACCAAAGCCACCTATCCAGAGGCACCCACATTTTTGGATTAAACACAAGCAATTATAGTCAAGCTTGTTAGGCCGCTTTTTCCTCCCAGCATTAGCCCGACGGGAGTCTGATGTCCCTCACCAAAGTGGGCGTGGCTGGGCAGCGCTCAATATCAAAATAAAGGCTCATTAATCAATTTTAGAGTCTACTTATATGTAGAAAATACATTTATTTTTTCTCCCCAATGAAGAGGGCCTGGGGCCCCTCTCTCGGCTGGTGCCACCCCTGCCCAGCATGCATTGCAGTAATCAGTTGATGACATAATCAATTTTTTGCAACTTCTCTTTAAAATATATGTTTGTCTTTACTCTATACTGTATAATAGACTTGCGCACTATATCATAATTTTTCAATAAATCTCTCCAACCTGAATACGTAATATATACAGAGTCAAATTTAACTGATTAAAATAAGTTAAGTTGTCTGACGTGTTATATACAAGTATGTGATGGGTTGCTCTTCAAGCTAGGCATGATGTAAAGCACTTGGTTACTGCATCTCGTGCATATGGAATGTAAGACAGTGAGTACCTAAAAGAAAAAGCAAGAGATTAAAGGGTGCCATCAAAATTAAAGATAAAGTTATAGACATATCTCGGCTGATACTGGGATATTCTCAAACACGTAATTAAAATAATTCTCTTTCAGTTTTTTTGCTAAATTACAGACATTTTACTATGAAAATCCATATATTGAAAATTATTCTACTCAATAAAAGGTTTATGCAAAGAATATTGAAATGGAATTATATGTTTGTTTAAAAATATTTAAAACCAAATCCTATAACTTTATACTTAATTATACTATAACCATTTATATAATGAATGCTATATGTCAAATCATGATATCATCATTTGACCCCCACTTGTAATTTACTATCCCAAAACCATGCAATCAATTCTTCAATATAAGATGCAAGTCCCATCTAATGTATAGAGTACAAGTACACTAATTGCGTATTTATTTTTAAGTTCACTGGATTCAAATAAATACTTACCAGGTTAGGGCTAGAAATTGACCAATACAGAAAATGATTGCCAATGCAGCATTTTCCCACTGTAAAGATAAGAACACATCATTCCATTTATTTTATATTTTATAAAATAAAATGATTTAGTAATAATAATAATAATAATAATAATAATAAATTAAATTAAAAAATTTGTTTTAATATTTTTAATTATTCTTATATTTTAATTCCCTTAAAATCACCAAAAGGAAAATGTGGTTAAAATTTTAAATTATTGTTAGGCGGGAAATTCTTGCTTGCTTGCGGGAGTAAGGAAGGCTGTCCCGATTTCCAGGAGACTACCGCGACTTTCGAGAGATTTGGGACCCCTGCTGTAAAAAATGGGGTGACATCCACTTGTTAGGTAAGATAAGATAAGATTTATTGGTTCTCTCTTTTATAACAGAGGAACTCTGTTTTTCATAATAGTTCAGTTCTTTCAGTCATTGCTTTTAATAAATATGTTTTACAATGGTTATCAAATATGTTACAAATTTCAATATTCTGGTATGCATCAAAAATATTATCTAAAAGTAAGTGGTGCCTAAATTCACATGAACCTTCTAAGAAAATGTCCCAAAAGTACCTATTAATTTTACACAAGTCAGTTTTCAAATGTTCAAAACATGCATTTCTAATAGAGGATAGACAATCAAATAGAAAATGGTCGACCGTTTCTAATTCTCTTTTTTTGCAAATAATACAATGGCCTGAGTACATATCTGACCATGCCCGTTTTCTGCCTTCAAGATCTAGAACATTAGTTCTAGCTTTAAACTTTAAATGTGTACCTTTAAAATTGAATTTGTCCAAAAGGTAGTATTCTAAATTTGGTATATTTTTTAATTTAATGTAATCCTTCAGTGATGATTTTTTAGTTGCTTTTTGAAACCATTCTTTATTATTGTAATATGAGATCATATTACTAAAAGATTTTATCTACACTGAGTATTTTGTGGTTCCATATTATATATATCATTTAGATCATATTTGTCTAATAATGCTTTAATGTTATCAATCCATTTCCATCGTGTAAGTGATCTAACCTCCATAAGTGATTTACATAGTAGAAAGACTCGGTCGACGGCTCTTAATAAAAACTCCCTTGTAGCGTTCACAGGGAGTTCTTATGGCTTAGTGTGTGCTTCTAGAGCACAATATTAGGGCTGTCTCTTATACACATCTAGATGTGTATAAGAGACAGCTGTTATACTCTGTATATAGTACTGTATTGTAAGGTGTGTATCTTACCTGGCTATAATTAAACCTCCTTGTAAGATGACACGTAGGAGAAAGGCAATTATTACAGAATGATAAAATAACAATTGTGAAATCTCTATGGTAACGTAATCTGTAACTGTAGGAAATTATATTTCCAATTCATTTAGTTGTACTATATATAAGTCAGTCGTGCCATCCTCATTTTCATTTCTACATAATTATCCCGTCCTCGAGCAGATACTAATTTGATTTAGTGTCTGGTATTTTTGCAGCTTGTGTGCAAAAAGCTCAAAGCTGTTGTTTTACATCACAATGATTATTTCGTTGCTAGTCCAAGCTCTTAAAACGTTGACTGCCAGACTGTTTTTTAACGTTCCTTCCGGTGTGCCAAAACAAGTTTACATGTACAAATATACTTTTTTGAAATTTTATCTAGTCATACTGTATATCATCAAAATGATGTGTCTAATAAATTGACAGGAAAATATTAGGAGGGCGGGTAAACTCGTCGACGGCAGTGATAACAATTTTTTGCCAAGTGCGAGTTATCTCGTCTGAAATTTTGCATGGGTTGGTATGTTCAAAGGACGCCCGAATTGTGCACACTCGAGTGTACTACCGGCAACATAACACAACAAACACACATGTCATTTGTACGTTATAGTGCAGGTGTATCTTAACCGAACTACTAGCCGTTGAATCTATGGTTCTACAATGTATAACAAAGAAGTTATAAACGCTAGAATGTTACACCAATTTTGATGAGTATACTCATCCCTGGCTCCCTAAGCAACACCTTGTGAGCGAGTATACTCGTTGCTGGTAGTCAACGTGTTAACAACCATAAACCTAACAAATCTCGCTCTACGGCGCTAATGAACACGCGTAGAAAGGCGTATGGTTTTGATTATGCGAGATAACAAGGTGATTGACTATAGAACTGCAAATAGAAGGCAATGTTGAAATAATACCTGATTGTTTACATTACATTTTTATCACTTTAACGTATGTCTACCAAGACATTAGTGGTTCTACCTAATAATAAACTCAATTTACACCCACCACAACCAAATTATTCACTGTATGGAAGAGTGTATGTGCACATGCTAGCTTTCTCATGCACAGCTAATGCACACGCACAGTTAATATTAACTATCGCTACAACCAGCAGTTTGATTAAAATACATGTGTATAAAAACAAGGTGACTGACTGGTGCATCAAGTTATTCAGACACTATAGAAAAAAAAACATCTAATAATAAAAGCCATTATTTCGTTCAAAATATTTATTTTTTTAAGAAAATAACATTTTTAGAAATAATGGCTCATGATCGGCTTCTATTTTCTAAAGTGTCCTCAGAACAACTATAACTGCATACCAGACTTTTAAAAAATAGAAATTTATGAAGAACTTTACGATATTGAGATGCAAGATATATAATATATTTTTACATATTTTTAATAACTTTTTTCTTAGGAGCAGTAGTGGACCACTGTAATACCTGTAACAACATCCCAGATATAATAACACATCCATTCCTGGTAACAACCAGATAAGCTTTGGTTGTATTATGGTACTTACCCATAATGCTGCACACAAGGTGAGACCAAGAAGAAGAAACACAAGGATCGTTGCCACAAGCCTTGTTGGTTTGAACATATTTTTCAGCTGACGAACTGGCCCCATCAAGAAGAAAGTACTACGCATTCAAAGTGACAGTAGAATTATTCACAAAATACATAAAAATTTTATCAAACATTATTTATAATAATAATAATAACTTATTAAAAAAACACATGAAACTCAGCTTCCTGAATATTCCATAATGCTGCATAATACTACAGTGTACTGGCAAGTTAGCATAGCAGAGAGAAATCGGGCTTTAGCCAATAGGGACTTTGGTATTATTCCACTAACGTACAAAAAGGGATCGGGGGGGGGGGGAAAGGGGAGGAGGGCGGAAGAATGCGGCAAATGTGAAATAAGGGATTGATGATTAAGTGAGGGATGCTAGCCAACTCGAGATTTTTATCTACTTGAGTGTGATTTCTTGGCTTTGAAGATTTTCAATGGGGGATGACTGACTGGGTGGGGCCCCCACAAGTTTTTTTTAGGGGACCCCCCTCCCCTAGGTACGACACTGGTTTGAAAACTGCCAATGCTGCCATTACTTGCATCCTTGGATAAGACACTTTGCTCAAATTACAGTACCTCGTCCTAATTAGGAGGTAAGCTGTTGATTGGGTTTGCATAATAGCACATGTGTTCAGTATAAACTCAGTAAACTATTCAACAGAGTGCATTTTCTCAGTATACTGGTCAGATAAAGCACTTCACTGCAGCCGGTGTGGATCCCCAGGGGCCTATTAAACCCAAATTTTCTTGTTGATTTCAACAACGATAATCATTTACATTTATCCATTTAAATTCCTGGGTGAAAACATGAATAGTGCCTTTTCCAAGAACAAACAAGCAACTAGCCTCTGACTCGACCCCCTTGATCAGTAATTTAGGTGCTACTGTAAGCCTTGCAGTGGCGCTTGAAATATGCCGACAAGGGGTCTGACATGTCCAACGGAGGGGTCCGAGCCAAGAGGCCAACAAAGACTCGGTCGACGGCTCTTAATAAAAACTCCCTTGTAGCGTTCACAGGGAGTTCTTATGGCTTAGTGTGTGCTTCTAGAGCACAATATTAGGGATTGGCATTCAAAATAACGTTATTTGGATAGGCAAATTATTATTTTTCTTATTTTTGATCCGACGATCTAGCCATGCATCGGAAGACAGGGGTTCAGGCCTGTCCGATTGGGGGAAGGATGCCCCCTGCTAGCGCCACCTCTGCTAAGCCTTACTGCACCAAATACTTCCCCATAATTATAAATATAATATTAAATAATCTTTCACTATTTTATCATTTTTAAATCATTAATTTAATTTCAAATAATGTACATTACAATGTTACAATTTAAGCATTGTGCATATTTTTATTTCACATTAATACTAAATTTAATATAAGAAATGACAGAAACATACAAAATCACGGTTAAAAATGCAATGGAAGGCAAGTTAATAATATATATTTTTTATGTGCTTGCATCAGAAAAATGGAGTGATGTTTTGCCCTCCTTGACGTATTATCATACTAAATATTAATTACCTTTCAAAATACTTTGCTTTGCTATGGGGATCAAATTCAACACTAAGCATTAGGCGCAAGCTTTGTGGTCTAGTTGTTATGACACCAGGCTAATTAACTGGAGGTCATGGGTTTGATTCCCACCCGAATCACTTGCAAATGTTTTAATATTCAACATGATGAGACATTAGGGTAGGGCAAAACATTACTCCAAGTTAGTATATAGTAGTGTACCTTGCAACTGACATTATGTTACCAATTGTATAAAAAACAGCGAACAGAGCAAGACTGAGCAAAATAAAACAGACCCCCTGTGCAAGAAAGTTGAAAAGAGTGCACTAGGTTAATAACATGCAAGATATAAACAACAAAAGCAGTAGACAAAACATCAAGTACACAGTAAATTTATATTTTGACATGCTACCAAACAATTAGGCAGATACAGTTAATTCCACAGAAGATAGAGTAGCAAATACTTGATTCTTTCATTCATTCACTCACTCATTTGTTCAACGTTTCAAGCAAGCAACCAACCAACCCGACTCAAATATATCCTCATAGAGGTACAATAAAAAGCAACAAATGTTATAAAGTATTCATAATGTAAGAAAAATAATTTTGCATTATGTTTCAGAACCAAACCCCCCACAAAGTAGGCATATCTTTTTCAATTTTTTTTTTTTTTTCTCTTTATTTTTTTTCCCCGAAAAGTAAAAAAATATGTATGAGGTTTAAATGTATGTTAATATGAAGTGTTAATGAATAAATTTTAAATTTGAGAAATAAAAATAATTTTATCTCAGCATTTGCCGCCATGATATGATGATATTAACTAATGATTGGATTGGATTGGATTTATTCGGTGTAAACAACTACGACAGCCGACAAGTCTAGAAGAAGACTTATTTCCATTGGGGTCCTTCTGGTGGTGACTGGGCAGTACACCGGGAGACAATGCCCTACTCTTTTCCAAAGAGTGTACTGCATTCTTTAACGTGCACAATGTGCGCTATTATAACTTGTATTTCTGCCCTCCAGTTGAAACACAAGGAGAGGCAGCGGTGGGAATTGAACTGGGGACCTAGAGATCTCCACGGTTCAGCGCACACACAGTGGCTACTACCAGATTAGCCGTCTGAGCTAAGCTGCTCTCCGATGATGGTAATAACAATAATATATACAGTGAACCAATTCCTAATTATAATTGGATGTTACTGTTGATGGATAGGTTTATGACTGGTGTAACAATAGCCACTGCTAAAAAATATAACAATAAAAATAATAATAAATGTACTATTAAATGCAGACCTGCTAATCTTTTTTGGTAAAAAACTCTTGAATTCTGAGCGACACAGAAATATGTTACCCAATTCCAACATTCATATCCATACTCGTACAAATATGAGAAGGGGATCAGGTTGGAAAGACAGACCACTACAGAAAGTCCACTAATCCTCAGTTGGTTTAAGCTGCTAATCTCACGAAGGTAACACTTAGGCCTGATGATATTTGTGAAATATGGACTTTCCTTTGTTCATTTGTAATCTATTTTTAAATTATTTTTTTATTTTACAGGCATATATTTTAATAATGCAATGATGTTGTAAACTTAGATTGTTTGCTGTCTTGTACCGTTTTCTAAGTGTTTTTATACCTAAATAAATCATAAGTCTAAAAATTAAATAATAACAATAATGGAGCAACAATACTTATTAAAAGTTAATTTTATTTTTAGTATTAGCCTACTGATTATAACTGCAAAGATTGTTCAAAGAACAGAAACAGGAATAGCAACAAATATTTGTCTTAACACTACTGAACATGCATACAGTATTCAACATTTTGATACAGGTAAGCTAACTCAAAGAGGTCCTCATAATGGTAAATTTTTTATCATGCTGTCCACTGCTAGTGGAACTTGCCATTGTGATTAAATACTTCACTTTTTATCCTCATCCTTATGATGATCTATAACACTGAACAGGTCAAAATATTGAATCAATCTATTTGGAGTATGTTTTATATTAAATGAAGCAACATAGTACTAGGTTTCTATTTTTAGTATAATAACTGATCAGAGATCATATAGGAATAACAAGAAAAAAAGTACAATAATTGTTAATGTTAGCATGTGACACTCAACATGTAGATGGGAACACACAAACAACAAATGCAGGCATAGCGAAAAAAAAGTATCCTCATTACACTCAGTGATCTAAATTAGCTGGCTGTTTAAAATGCAATAGACTTACCTGCCAAAGGCTGCCAAATTACCGAGTGTGTAGAACATTGCAAACAACCGAAGTGAACTGGATGAGGGCAGAACTAACATGACGGTTGACTACGATGATGAATGAAGAGTAAAATGATAATGAAAACAAAAGAAAACATGAAGAAACACTGAGTGATTTTGATTGTGATGTCATATTATAACAATAATAATAACAATAATAATAATAATAATAATAATAATAATAATAATAATAATAATAATAATAATAATAATTTACATTTCATGGCACAGTGCCTCTATGCGCTTTACAGCAAATTATAAAATGAAAAGCATGATGATTTCCCACAAAAAACTAAATTGTTAGTTTCAAATTTGAAAGCATTTTTGGGGAGGGTATTTACTATTTACTACCCTACAGTAGTAAGCAGGTCCTGGTAAATAATAAAAAAAAATTTTTTATAAAAGAAATAAAGTGAATCTTCGTAATGTATTTTAGCATTTTTGTTTCCTCCTCTTTATCTTTAGGCTTTGACAACAATCTTTCAGATCATAATAATTATTATTTTCCATGGAAAAATTATGTTTTTTTTGTTAAGTAGCAATTTTAAAATTTTTCATGAGCCTGAAAAATTTTATATGTGCAGGGACATGAAAAATGCAATCAATTATACATGGCCTAACACACTGATGATAGCGTCTTTATATATCCCTCTTAAAGAGGAATAGGCATTCCTACTTAAAAAGGTTTAGTTTCTGAACGAGGTTCTACAAAGAACCGTGAATGTGATGTACTGCAATACAGGCAACAATGAGGCCATAAAATGAGATATTAATGGTAGCCATGGTAGCAATGATATGGAAAATTAATGATCAAAAAAGCATCTTGATAATAAGCAAATCGGAGAACTCTACAGTGGACATGTTCTGTATTCATAACTGATCACTAAAATTTCAATTGCCTGCATCTGATCAATTCATATTTTAAATTTTAAATACAGTTACATAAAAAAACATAAATTATAGGCCTACTGATGGATATTTTCAATTTCCATAATTATGTTGCATACAGTAAATGACGCTGATGGTTAAAATAATGTGAAACCAACAGTGAGAGGACTTTATTTAATATTCATCAAATACTTTTGTTTAAAAATAATAAAATATAATAATATAAATATAAAATAATATTGTATATATTTTGTAAGGATGTCAAGACAAGGGAGAACAAAACTATAAAAATCCCATCAGAATTTAAAAATATATTAAACAAAATTAATACTATCTGCTGGGGCGGAAGCAGGATTGGGCAGTAGGGGGTGCGTGAGATTCCGCACCACCTCAGTCCCATCATGGTTGGGGTTGAAGTTCAGACATTTTGAGAATATGGACCTTAAAAATCTAATACTGGTACTATACATATCAACAATACAATACAACAACTATTTTGCTTAATACAATTCAGTGGGGTGCAATCACATTGTCTGCACCCTCCTGCATCCGCCCCAGATCTGAGCATTTAACTTAAAATACCAATTAGGCATTTAGGTTTGAAAACACATTTGAAATCTTTTTTTCCTATTGAAATTTGATGAGGACAACAATATCTACCAGTACCAGCATCAAAGCTACATCATGTGACAGATACTCGTGGTTACTACTTACATGTAGTACTTTAGCATATTATACTGTACATATCATATGACCTAAATAATTAATATTACAGTTGAACTTTCCCAAGTCAAATCCAAAATGCCGTTGAAGAATTGTTCAATTTAGATAAAATTTGACTTACAGATTGTTAATTAATTGAAAACAACAATTTGGCATGTAAAATAAGTTTGACTTGGAAATTATTCGAGTTAGACAAAGTCGACTTAGGCAAGTTTAACTGTATAATTCATACTATTTATCATTGACAATAATATTATATAATAATAATAATAATAATAATAATAATAATAATAATAATAATAATAATAATAATTAATGAAAATAATAGTATTCGGTACAATAACATGTCAGGTATGGAAAAACTCCTATAATAATAATAATAATAATATAATAATAATAATAATAATAATAATATTAAGCTAATCATGAGAAACTTAAGAATACTGTAGTGATAAATAATGATGATGATGACAGTAATGATAACAACAACAAAAACAATATTAATTATAAAAATATGAATTAACCTAAAATTAAGTTTATATATTATAATAATTAATAATAATCATAATAATATAACTGTATTTTATCAAATTAAAAGTTAGATACTACTAGTTAGAATACGAATCTGTCTGTGTCACTTCCAGAAACCGTGAAACTTGCTTTGACTACCATTGGGGTATCAATCTGTACGTCAAATACTTCTGGCTATTATTTTCCACTATACTGTACATGTATATTCTCATGTACAAATTAAGATCGAAAAATAGGGGGTCATCTTATTTGGGCAACAAATACAAATTTGTATGTGCGGATTGACAGCAACACACAAACTTACTACTGAAAGGACTTTAATGGAGGGAGTTAAGATTTTGATGAACTTTTAAAAGTTCATGAAATGGTATTATTTGGATAATTAACCCTACACTTGGCTCCGTTTTTAGCCATAAAGACCATAAAAAGTAGCAAAAAATTCTGACAATGAAATAAGGGCGCGAGATGGGGGTGAGGGTACGCCCAACATACAACAATAGCCCAAAAATCTCTGAAACTCGGAGGGGGAGGAGGGGTCACCTTATACACGGAGCGTAAATTGAATATATCATCATTTTAGCTATTGTCTGTCCTATGCTGGGCGAAAGTCGTTGACGCCATATCATTCCATCTCACATATCAGTGTTGACACAAAAAATATGCATAATTAAACTAAAAATTAAGATATAAATTATATGTATGTGTATCCTTCTCTTTGATTGGACACTTTATATACTGTACAGTACTACCTTACCAAAATAGACAGTGTGCAACCAATCACAAAGCAGGCTATGAACCCCTTTAACCGTGTTGACCAGCTTAGAGTAGATCCATCATATACCTACAGTAAATAGAAAAATAGTTAAAAAATAGTTTGAATAAAAATACATTTTGACAGTTATTAATAATAGCATCTATCTTGAATTAACTCTGCTCTAAACACCACATGTTATTAGATTTCTATAATAAACATTGCGACTCTTAATCGAGTGTACATGCCAATCTGCCCTAATGTTTCACAAGAAATTAATACTGTGGTTTACAACTTAAAGGCAAAACCATACGCCTGTACCATTTTAAAACTCTAATAAATTGTAATAAACACTGATCTTAAATGCGCCATAAGCTTCTACTGTATAAATACAGTACAAAATAGTTGGCATGTGGGTTAGCTCAGTGCATATACCCTATAGTTCTCCGTGGTTTGGTATGAAACTCTCACTTTTATAGCGGGAGGTTACAGGTATAAATCCTCCTCTGCATACTTTTTTTTCATACAACTGAATAAAGAAACATTTCACTAGAGAGCTACTGTATGCTTGATACTATTTTAGCACCTTGTTCCTATTCGAGCACCTATTTTTTATCCACTGGCATAGCTTTAGATAATTTATTAAAAAGTAATACTGTTCAAGTTATATATAAAAAAGTACTTAAAATATCTATGATCCATCATGGGACCCCAGGTCAGGATTAAAAAAAAAACAAAAAAAAAAACAATTGTTTCAATGGAAATTGATAGTAATATAACCACCTCTCTAGCAAAGAAAAAGAAAGCAAAGTGATTACAACAACAAAGCAAAACTTATATTTCACTCTAGCAATTTGCAACTGGTGTCTACTTCCTGTATAGTCTTAAAATTTTAATAAATTCCCCTCCAATATTGAAAGCGCATGATTCTCTTAAAAATTTATACACAGGCCCACAGGATTCTGTAAGCATGGCTTTTCTTCCCATGGGAGCTACTGTAGGTAAAAAAAAAGCCTAACCACCCAGAAATCGGCCCTTATTTTTTAAAATATGCAGATGGATTTCTAGGCCAAATTTTTGCGCAAAGCTTACTGTACATTTACATTTATACTGAACGCTCGAATAAATCCCAGTCCCTCTGTTGGTACTTGACAATATATTCTGTTTTTGGAAATTTTTAATTTTTAAAATAATAAAAAGTTGTACCATTTTAAAATTCTTCCGGGATCAGCCGCCATATTTCAATATCTTCAGCTTCTACAAATTATAGTATAAATAGTTAGATCGCTTTTTTTCAGAGAATTGTGATTAATAATTTTCAACTTGTTACCATCTGAAGTTAGTTTATGTATCTAAGAGTTTATTTGCCAAATATAAACGTACAGTAGTACGATGTTCGCAATAGTATTTTTTTCATGGATAAATTTTTTATGTTTGATTTGCGATAGGTCTGCAAAGAGATATAGTAGGCGCCAGAAACATAAGCCTATCCAACAATGCTAGGCTAGGCCTAGCCTTACCCTGATTTAGGTTCTGTTATCAGACATAAAAACGGCCGACATGATATTTTCAATTGCTAGTTTGACACTTGTGAAATATAATATTTCATTGGAATTATTTCAAATTTGTTAAAGAAAATATTCTGACCGACATTTTGACAATTCAATAAACATATCTCAGGCATTCTCGATCGTCCACAGTGTGTGAGATGCGAAGTACAAAAAATAATCTCATTAGAGAGAGAGAGAGCGCACTTTATTTATTAATATTTATTGCTTTCCATGAAGTAAATTTACAAAGGAATTTTTAAAAAAGATAGAAAAAAAAAATATATAACAGGATAAAAACATATCATTAAACACACATCACATTTACAGAAATTAAACATAGAAAGCAGAGGACGACCCTTTTTAAGCCTGATGGCTTGTTTCAGAATGGGTTTACCTATACTTTACACAAAAGTGACAACATCCAGCGGATGCGATCTACAACTTTTGAATTTGCCTAGCAATGAAGAAGTTGCCGAGAAAATAGTAATCTCCTATCTATGAGAAATAGTCTCTTTTTTTCTTTTCTTTTTTTTTTTTTATCCTTTTGCGTACAACTAAAATTTATGCCAATATTTTTTCATGGTTTATAATAATTAGAGTAATACTTATGGATTTTTTCTAGAAAATAAAATCTTTTTTTAGTGAAATTTTGCCGGAAATGGGGCTTTACTAAAGCCCCATTCCCGGCAAAATTTCACTAAAAACTGACTTTTTTTAGAAAATATGCATTTGCATTACTCCAATTATTATAAATCATGGAAAAATCATTCTTAGGAATGTCTAAATTCAGTTAAACTAGCAATTCCGTATTATATTTATAAATCTTTATAACATTATACAAAAATTAGATTTTTCTTAAAAACTGAAATTTTGCCAGGAATGGGGCTTTAATATATTGTCTGATGCCCAGGTAGGCCTAGGCCTACCTACACGGTCGGTGGTTTCCACCAATCCATCCAGTGAGACGGAATACAATATTAGTAGTAGTAGGTAGTTTAACTAATGGGCTAGGCTAGGCCACTTCCTCATAGGACCTAGGCCTAGACTAGTTCCTCCAGTTAGAGGGCTATGCTAGCCTAGCGAGCGCCTTTGGATGGTATATAGATAGGCCTAACTAAGGCCCTATCTCAATTGAATCAGGTCAGGCCTAGCTTAGCCTAGGACTTTCTTTATTCAAACGTAATTAAATAATACAAATTGCATAAAAAAAAACGGCACAAACCTTTGTGATAATATCCTGTTCGTCGTCTTCTTCCTCCCCTCTTAAAACCCTTTTCAGTTTGTCCATAACTGAAAATAAAAACACTTACTTTTTCCAGAACTTACACTAAAACAACTAGGCCTATCTATCTCTTTTTTTTATGATGATGATGTGTTTACTGAGTATACTACTGTACATGATTCTCTCCTCTCCGCCCATCTGTCTTTCGAGTTGAGGGCGCAAACCGATGAATTTCTCTGAGCAGTAAGTTTATTGCGTTATAGTAGCGTTTAGTACTTATTAAAAATCGCGTAATATCAATTATTCCGTTTTAAATTAGTAATTTTATTTCTAAGTGGATATTGTATATTGTACATTCTTTTTTTTTTATTAATTGCCAAATAATTTTGGGTTTTTAAGGCTGAAAATCATTCAAATTAACATCCGTTTTTGCGTTTACTCTCAATGAAGACGCGTTGCTCTTAACTTTGCACACAATACAATCTCAACAATTTGTAGAATTTGTTTTCTAGATCTTGTGCGGCCGACGTCGTGAATTCCGGCGTCGTGTGGTAGAGTAGTTGGTTCAGGTCACGACGGTATAGAAAGTTGGAGAGTCAGCTTAAGGCAAAGATACGCTGCTTTTTAATCATTTAGCAACATCATTAACATCAAAATGTTGTCGAGAACGGCAAATTTAAGATGGTAAATAATGTTCTTTTATTTGAAATTTGTATTAGATATAACGCCCGTAGGACTGTTTGCATACGATCGACGAGCTTGAGAAGTTAGAACATGTGGTATGGTCATCTGGTCAGAATGGATTAAGCATTTTCGACTGACCTGGATTGTGAAAACTGGTATCTGATCAGTGACATATGACTCGTGTACCAGGGAGCCGGTTAGGCAGGGGCCTGGAACAGTACTGACGAGTATGGGAAGTACTACTACTGAGTCAGGCTCACATCCTCAAAATGTGTAACAAATCTATCAGACAGAAATTTAAAAGTTCCCCTGTGTGCTCAGCCCCTCTGGGATTTTTCTTTAAAAAATTCTAAAAATACTTTGATATGTCAAAAGGAATCCAAAATTTCAGCTTCTCCCCACTCCCCACTTGCTTTGTTCATTACAGTTTATGGCTCCTTTAACTTTCTACGGTTTTTATGAAGCTAGGCTCTATCTTCTGGATTAACAAAGATAAAAAGTTGTAAATTGCTATAAGATATTTGGCCCCGCTCTTTCATAAAATACCATTTAAATTGGGTAGTGCATTTTTATTAGAATGCTATATGGCCCCAAAAATCCCCCAAACCATTGTGCAAACATATATTTTCCCCTTTTCAGAGGGTCGTATCTTCTTATTATTCTTTTATTAAAGTAAGAAAGATAAAATTAAACATGTATGGCCCCCATAAAAAAAAATTAATTTATCACCCCCCTCCTTCATCACTTTTGAGGATTTTTTTTTTTTTTTTCTGCAATCAGCATACAAACGGTCATTTTTTCCATCTTTTTTTCACTTGAAAATCTCAGGATTTCTTGCAAATATGTTTACTGGTACAACAAAAACGTATTTTTAAATATAAATTTGATTCCATTCTTTTTAGATATTTGTCTCTAACCATTGATTAACTTGTGAACATCGGTAAAATAAGGGCGGGGTTAGCAAAAAAAAAAGGGAAAAAACCCTCCCTCCCTCATCAGTTCTTTGATAGGGTGATAAACTAAGTACTAATTTTTTTATGGGGCCTAATACATAGAATATGCTCGTACAGTACTACTACATAATATAAAATTTGCAAAGTAATTTAATAAAAGCAAAAATGAAGGTATTATGGGGTTCAAAAACATGGTTGCAGAAATATTGCCCCTAAATATACACTCAACTTTGACTGACTGACATATAAAATATGCTACCCAAATTTGAATGGTATTTCCTGAAAGATGGTCCAAAAATCAGTCAATGTAACAATTTACAACTTTTTATCTTTGTTATTCCAGAAGGTTAGCTTTTTAAAACCATATACAAAGTTAAAGGAGCCATTACCGGAATGAAAAAGGGGGCTTGGTACTTAAAATCCATAAGATCATAACTTAAAAACTGCTTTGAAATTGAAGCTGAAATTGTTTAGCCTTTTGACATATCAAGGTATTTTTATAATTTTTTAAAGGAAAATCCAAGGGGTGGCTGGGGGGGGGGCGGTGTCACATTGGCATGGTGGTTGAATTGAGCTGGAATGACCCTGTTCTTGTTTACTCACTGTTTTCTTAGTTTGCTGGGGCCAACATTGCGGACTGCAGCAGCCGTTTCAGTGCGTGCAGAGCACACCCTGCCAGATCTTCCATATGACTACTCGGCATTGGCACCCATCGTTAGCGGAGAGATCATGGAACTTCATCATAGGAAACATCACCAGACATATGTCAACAACTTGAATGCTGCAGAGGCTAAATTGAAAGAAGCCCAGGAAAAAGGTTCAATGGCCAAACATAGAAAAATATGTTTCCCATCCACTCCTGCTACCCTGTTGTTCTTAAAGTTGGTGGTGGTGGGAGGTTTTTTGAGGCAAAACACCAAGAAAATATGGACCTCAGAAATTGTACTTTCATACCTTTAGATAAGATTCTTAGCAGTAGACCTACTATGTTGATATCACCAATAGGCTTACAATACAACAATTATTTTTCTTCATACAATTTAAGGGGGTGTGATCACACTGTTTGCATCCACCCAGTAATTCATTGCCCAAATGCCAAATTGTCCATCATTACACCTACTAGTAATAGAAATAGTACATGTATGAATGGTAGTTTTCCACCTCATCCATGAAAAATTTGTAAACATCCTCCTCTATTGTTAAATTATTTAATATTATTACTTATTAATTAAAACGATGTGCACCAAATTATTTAATATTATTATTTATTTAAAAGATGTGTACCTCTGTTCCAAATGATCTAAATAACATAATAATCTAATTATCAAAAAATTAACAAAGCTTGTTCTATTTTCATTTCAGGAGATGTGAATGCAATGATAAGTCTCCAATCTGCAATCAAATTCAATGGAGGGGGACATATCAATCACTCTATCTTCTGGCAAAATCTCTCACCAAATGGTGGCGGACAACCTACAGGTGAAATGGGAGGTCATAAAAGTTTTGATTGTTTGGCATGGTGTCATCGATCATTCTGTTGCTTCATGTTGGCATTTACATTAACTTGATGGAGTGTTGGTAATGTTTTGAATAACATTAACAGGCAATATGAATATTCATTAGCCTAGTCTAGGCGTAGCATGTAGGTCTATAGGTATATTCTTCATTTAGGTGTATGTTCTTGAGTAAAAAATGTACACTGAATGTACATAGGACAGTGTTAGGTAAATAATGCAGGATATTTGATATGAATATTCATTATGGTGGTGAAGCATTTAGACCAGGTACTAGATAAGATTTGTTTATATTTAGCAATTAATAATGATGATAAAATATTCTTAGTTAAATAGAAAAATTGAAATTTCCAAGTCTTGTTTAGCATAATTTATTGCATATGTTTTTGATTCTATCTATATAAATAGTTAGTAGATATATATGTAATTATTACATTACATTCAATAAGTAATTCTAGGCAGGATTACCTATTGCAACTACTATGGTTGTATTTTTAATTTAATGTATTTGACAATTGTGTTGATATTGATAGGAATTAATAATGAACTATGGTAGTTCACATTTGTCAATTACATTATAATACATACTGTATGATTTGAACTAGTATGTGTCGCAGTTGTTAATTACAGCTAAACTAGTCCACAGTAAACTAGTACATGTTTGTTCAATACAATATACTGTATGATTTAAACTAGTTAAGTTACAACTAAACTAGTCCACAGTTGTTCCACACTGGCATTAGTATACAGCTAAACTAGTCCATAGTTTTCCACACTGGCATTAGTATACAATTAGACTAGTCCACAATTGACATGTCGACAAGGACGCAAAGCCCCGCCCACAAAGTCACGAAAACCTTAGACAATGGCGGCTAGACTACCGAGTTGGCGAACATTTTCTTTTCTATCAACCTTCTTTAAGAAAGAGAATTCAGGGTAGGTGGTATGCAAATGAATCATATTTTCATAGTGTTAATCTATGTCATGGAACAGGTGGGGAAATTTTTGTAAAAGCCTCTGTATTTTGCTCCCAAAGGAAGAGGGAAAAGCCGGATTCATTCACCCTCATTGTCGGCAAAGGCCAAGTCACTGATACGCACTGCTCGCGTAAATCTGGGTATCCATAACCAAGCATAGACATCTAGGACTGGGCTCACATGTATGTTTCGCGTTGACAACCAGCTGTCTAAGGAAATTAAAATGTCCGAGAAAAAACGAGAAAAAGTTTTTGATCATGTGACTAAATGACGCTCGCTGATTACGTTTATCTGTCAAATCTTGTCGAGATGTTAATTGTTCGACACTGGCATTAGTATACAGCTAAACTAGTCCACAGTTGTTCCACACTGGTAATAGTATGCTAAACTTGTCCACAGTTGTTTCAGACTGGCATTGGTATACAGTTAAACTAGTTCTCAGTTGTTCAATACTGGCATTAGTATACATAGTTAAAACTAGTCCACATTTGTTCATTACATTGTAATGTAACAACCTGTCCACATTACAGACATCAATCAATGTCACTGTCTTCTAATCTACACAATTTAAAGTTTAAATTCATTCAGAAATATCGCGGTCATGGAACATAATTTGAACATTTCTGTAACATTCATTTCTAAATTTTATTTTTAATATCTAACACGATCTCAATTCTGTTTTTCATCATTCACAAAACTTCTCATTTTGTACGTAAATACATTTAAAAACAACACTAGTTAATTTGCACATTTTGTCCTTTTTAGTTTAACAACAGTGCATTCAAAAGCAATTTCAGTGATAACCCTGTACAGTAAACGTTTAGATGATTTAGTTTCCCAACCTCAAGGTTGGGGTTTCGTTCCCTCTCTGTGCACTTCGCTTGTGTCCTTGAGCAAGGCACTATATCTGCCTTGCTTTTCTCCAAGCAGCAGTGTAGAGTGTAAATGGGTACCTGTTGGGGTTGTCTGGTATTGCGCCAATATGTGGACTCAATGACCAGAGAAAGCGGAGTGCTTTTAGTAACCTAATGGAAAGGCCTTATACAGTATGCATACCAAATAACGAAATAAACAATGATTTAATGTAGTATTAAGCTGCTGGTATTTCAGTTTAATGCATAAGTTGTTTTTGACTGTAAAAAAACTTAACAGCACAGCTTCTGTTTCCTGTGAACAATTTAATAATTATAAATCTTTTCCTTACCCTGTATGGTTGCAATGGCATCAAAATTTTAATCGCACTTGACTATGATTTAATGCATAACTGCTCTCTGCTGCAACATACAGTTACAGTATAAGGCCGTTCATAGTGAATGGTCAATCTTGTAATGCTTCTTTGCTAGAGATTGTTGCAAGTAACTGCTACACAATAATTTTCTACTTCTAATCAAGTCCATGTACAGCACTAAATTTTTCCCAGCCACAGCTGGACACACTTCTTTGCCTTGCGATTGTATCCACTGTTATTATCTTTAGGCATGATGTTCGATGTACTTTTATTTCTAGTTGTAGTGGTGGTAGATTTGGATTAAAAAGCAGGGCCACGGCGCGAACACTTTTACCATGACCCCATAATTAAAAGTTTAAACTTCTTTTGGCTTTCCATATTGTAACTTAAAATCATCTGTTTTGTTTTAATCAGGTGAGTTGGCTGATGCTATCAAACAAGACTTTGGGTCATTTGATAACATGGTAGAGAAAATGTCTGCTGCGACCATTGCTATACAAGGCTCGGGATGGGGATGGTTGGGTTACGATAACAGGAACATGTCTCTCACCATCGCAACATGCGCCAATCAAGATCCGCTTCTTCCCACAACCGGTGAGTAAAAAGTCTAAACGCCATCAGATCCTCCAAACTGTGTTAATAATAATAATAATAATAATAATAATAATAATAATAATAATATCTCGAATTTATATGGGTCAATTTCAAACAAGATCACGACATTTGACATTTGACCATTTGAAACCCAGTATTCTATTGTGACCCATACTCGAATGGACATTTCCACTAAGGTCCACCCTTGGATTTTGTGGCTATGGTCCCACAAAACAACAGAGTAAAAACCAGTGGCGTATCTGGGGTCGCCCTCACCCCCCCCCCAAGTCCTCCCCCCACTGTAAAGTAGTTAAAAATCACGTTATTTTCCAGATTTCCGCCCCTCAACTGATCATCAAGGGGCCCCCACTTCACCTTTGCACGCACACACACCCCCCTCCCCGCCTCCATCAGAACCCCCTTTTCAAGACTTCTAGATACGCCACTGGTAATAATAATATTTATTTGGCAATCAAGATATCATTTGCCATGAAAGAGAATAGACAATAAGGCTGAACAAACAGTTTGCTCTCTTTACTTACACTACATAACTTAAACATACTGTCAAAAATTCAAATTGATAAAACAAAAGGCAAAGGTCAAAAATAAACAATCAGGTAAAAAAAAAAAGCAAATATAAACAGTTAATAAATAGTCAATACATCGAGATATAGTGCTGGTGAGAGCAAACTTAAAACTTGTAATTGATAAGGATTGTTGAATGGGTTATGGTATCTGTTCCAGAGTCTTGGAAATGAAACATATGCTGAATTAATAAAAGTATAGTCTGCCCTCGCACCTTTCACTGAAACATAAGCAAGCACATGTGTTTGTGGGAAAACGTGTGTTTGTTGGACACGTGCATATTCCTGACACTGTTCTGATTGGTCAGTTGTAAAGTTTGATTGACACTCCAGCTATGTCCATTGTAACCAGTGATATCTACTATAATAGCTGGATTGTTGTTTTTGTTTTAGTGAGGCCACCAATCTAGTTGGAGGACCTAAGTGACATATCAGTTTAAACAAGTTTCTTTTGGCTTTTGTTTAAATTATTAAAAATAACGATTCTTACAATACTTTTACTTAGGCTATCCAACATAGTGTCGATGGCCTCAGTTTTTTCTGTAGAAGGATTGGCCGATGAGCAATCTAGCTATTATAGTAGAGATCAGTGATTGTAACTCAACTTAAACTTGGATATCACTATGGAACAACAAAACTTTTGTTTAGTTAGAAAAAAAAAATCCCTGTCGATTTGAACTAGGACGCTGGGATAAGAAAGCAAGCATCGTAACAACTAAGTTACAGATCCAATTTGTTGGAATTATTGTCCATTATACTTTCTAAATCTAAATGAATAAATTTTTTATGTATTTTTTATATTTCTTTCCTTTTTTAAACTAAAGGACTGTCACCTCTTTTGGGTATTGATGTCTGGGAGCATGCTTATTACCTTCAGTACAAGAACGTTAGACCAGATTACGTCAAAGCTATTTGGAATATTATCAACTGGCAAGATGTGTCGGAAAGATATCGCAATGCAATTAGCCAGGGTTTGTAATACAATTTAATGGCGATATCAGATATATATTATTATAATTAAAGATATCAGTGGATTGATAATTATTATATACAAAATTGAAAGCCATTGAACTGTTGCTGTAATAGAGCATAATTGAAATACCTATTGATGTATCAGTATACGTAATGTGAACCCGTAATTACGTTATCGCACGGTTTCCCCTTAAACTGATTTACATGGTGATAATGACAGTTCACATTTGTTCCAGAGTCGGCAAGTAATATACGTATACATATGGTTACAAGTTTCGCATAGTTGCACCCGCTGTTTTCTTTGAATACTAAAGATACGAACAAGTGTAAACAAAGATCGGATTTACTCAAAATTTGTATATCATAGATTATTGAATAGCATGCAATTTTAATTACAGTAGTTGTATATTGCCAGTATACAAGGACAACAAAACAATGAAGAACAAACATAAACTCATTACGAACAAGAAACATGAAATAATAATACAGCAGTCTAGTCCTATAGGCTTTCAATATTTTGGAATATTTGTTGGAATTATTGTCCATTATACTTTCTAAATCTAAATGAATAAATTTTTTATGTATTTTTTATATTTCTTTCCTTTTTTAAACTAAAGGACTGTCACCTCTTTTGGGTATTGATGTCTGGGAGCATGCTTATTACCTTCAGTACAAGAACGTTAGACCAGATTACGTCAAAGCTATTTGGAATATTATCAACTGGCAAGATGTGTCGGAAAGATATCGCAATGCAATTAGCCAGGGTTTGTAATACAATTTAATGGCGATATCAGATATATATTATTATAATTAAAGATATCAGTGGATTGATAATTATTATATACAAAATTGAAAGCCATTGAACTGTTGCTGTAATAGAGCATAATTGAAATACCTATTGTTTGCTTTATTTATGTTCAAATTAATGGAAAATATCAGTTATTATCTTTTGGCAGTTTTTTTAATTAGTTTACATTCATTTTTTTTTTCTGAAATAATATTTAAATCAGGCTATGATTAAAACTGTTTAATCCATAATTATACATTTTTGGAATGTGTTGTTTTCATTTTGTGTTTGATTTTGTATCTCTGGTATTTATTCAGGCTACCGTAATTTTCCACATTTATAGTCATATTGCATACATTTTACAATTACCTGTGTTGATATAGGAGAGTCTTGTAAAAGGTTGGTCACCGCAAGACCTTCTATTTCCATTTTCCAGACTAGTTTTTTTTTTTTTTTGTGGTAATGTCATAGGTCATAGGAGATATGATGCTATGTACATTAGCTGTTAAATCAGACCACAAATAACGGCAGGGTTCCAGACGTTAATTAGGTTACTCAGTGAATTCTGTGAAATATAATCTTTTTATTGTTGTATGTGCGCACCATACCAAATTCAATTGGCGTCCCATACCCTATTTTTAGGAATTCCTTTTCTAAATTAACTTACTCGTTGGTGGCGCTGTCCAGAATGAGAAAAAAAAAATAATAAGGGACTCTTGAGTCTTGTGCGAGTCAAAAAGCCAAGATCCCTCATAATGTCATGCAATCAGAGAGTTAACTACTGTGTAATATATTGACATATATGCTGATCTGAGCATATCGGATGGTTTAAGATGATTTCACTTTTCGTTTTCCCTAACAAAAGATTAAAATAACGAGAACAGATGAAATTCTTTCAACATGAACAAAATTATGATTTTCCTCAAAGATTAGGCCTACATATTAATAACAATATGTATGTTGTAATAAATGGAAACTTTTTTTGAAAGATCGATATACAGGAGTACTATACCTGAAATATGAAATAGAATAATACATTCAACTGCCACCAGTAAACACAAATCCATTCAATTATTTTTTTTACTATTTTATAGAGGTTTTACAATTGAAATTGTAAAGTACTCATTTAAATAAAATGAAATACTGTAGAATGATACAGTTCAACTGCCACTAGTAAACACAAATCCAATCAATTCATTTTTTACTATTTTATAGAGGTTTTACTATGAAATTAACAATTAATTGAAATCATTAATTTAGAGGGGGGAGGGAGATAGTTTAGCCGCCCCCCCCCCCCACGCCACTCCATTCTCAAAAAAATAACAAAAAACAAACAAAAACAAATCCCAAATTATAGACCCCTAAGGTATGGGCTAGGCCAACCTTTCTTGCAAGGCTAGCTAGGCCTTGGTCAAAACATGATGCAGACCTGTAAAACTTTCTTATTCCGTTTTCTCACATGTAAAAAGGTCGGACGAAATAATTCTTGGTAATTATGAAGGGAAAGGGAAGAGTGACACCCACAAATAGACACGAAGTACGAGACTTCGTTAAAAAAAAAAAAAAACTAAAGTAGGAATTATTCATATTATTCCATATTGTCAGAAATCATTAATATACTATTGGTACATCATTATATTCATTTAGACCGACTGATAAAGTTAATAAATTCTTGTTTAAAATTTGGTTGCAAGTCCAGTTTTAGGCTATATCATCAGCGTACATTCAATTTTTAGTTTTCATAATACTGTGGATGTAATTAAAAGGTTGATAAATTAAATTACCCTTTGAAAACCTTTTTTGTAAGATATTAAATACGTCGGTGCTATGGCCTGTCCAAATACACAAAGGCGTACAACCTGATATTTATGTGTAATTCCTTATGTAGAATCAAAATACAAGTGTTGCATTTAAATAAAGATTCGTTTAACTTCAGTTTAACGTGTATTTAATCTTTAGTTTTCATAATAAAGACAGTCTGTATACAGTAATTTAAAATATTTGCTGATTTCATGGAAAGGCGGATAAAGTACAGTATTTCCTTTTCTGTTTGATATAGGCCTGTCTAAGTGCAGATATTCAACTTAAATTATAAAGTCAAGATGTGCTTTACATACAGTACCGTAGTTGATTGTGTAATGTATTTAATGCCTCTTTCGTTCGGTAAATCGCAGCACCACTCGTGTCCCTACAAATGACCATAACAGCATTTCAGTAAACGATAAATTTCGGAGTGAGAATAGAGTTGGAGGTTGTGTGAATGTTCGTTGTATTCATAGATTGTTGGCATAGGTCTATGTAATACAATACGCACATGAAAAGTTTATCAAGCCTTTATGCTCTTAAAAGCTTTTAAACACTTCATTTTTCAAAAGCATTTTCTATTTTGAGGAGGGGAACACCCATTCCCAAACACACCCCGCTCGTCCACTGCCCCCTCCCCCTCTCCCTCCCTTCAATAAATCATATATCTGCTAAGTTACTGTATGTGCTGGTTCCAGAATAACCAATCAATATGATGTTCAAATGTCATCTCATATCTTTTGCTACAACCTGTACAGTGTATTTTTAACATAATAGCTTTATAAACATTTGTTCAGATAAATCTTATGTAATGAAGGGCGATTACAACGTTCTTGATGTACGTATAATAACTGTTATAATTTAATTTATATAGTACTTTATATACAAATTGTATTAATTTATATATATATATATATATATATATATATATATATATATACAATCTGTTCAACCATAAAACCTCTGTGGTATAATGGTTCGAATCCCTTTAGAGGCATTTTATTGCATAGACATTGAAGAACGTTGTCTTCAGATTGCGGTGTTGGCATCAACTCATCAGGAAACTGCACTTAAGTGCATGATGACTTAGTTTAGGTCAATTGTCCTTTCCATCTGGTGACACTGATCACGGAGTTATTAGACGTACATGATACAAGGCTCTGCAATCACGAGCGCATTATTTCAACACTTTTGATATATGATGTCATCCGAGTCAGCTGACTATTGGTGTGTAAACAAAAAAATGAGTTGCAATAAAAACAAAGCGACATGAACAATTGTAACAATTACTGACCTAGATACAAATAATGGCTGTGATGATAGCCGCCTATTGCTGTCTTTCTCATCCTCGCACACACTTTTTTTATCTCAACATTTGACTTTGTTTAGTTCGATGAACCATTCAACCAGTGGCGGATTTAGAGGGGGAGTCAGGAGCGTACGCACCCTCTATTTTTTGTATTTTTTTTTAAAATAGTAAAAATCAATCGAATACAAGTTAACATTAATAAGGTGATAGAATCTTAAGTGAATTGTCCCATTGCACCCCTACCGAAGGATCTTCCCTGAGACTCCCACTCGAACAATAATCCCCCTCTTCCTTGCGGGGCTGCATCCACCCTGCATTCAACTATAATATCCAGATAAAAGTGTTTTTCAAGGGATGTCTAACCAGTTAAAATACATAGCTGCTTGTATATATTTAAGTTTATTATCTAATAATTGTTCCTTTATTTATTTATTGGTTCACTCATTTTATAACAGAGGTAGCCCCCCCTCCCCTTTCCTTTTTTTTTGTTTTGTTTTGTTTTGAAAGTTTAAACAAATAAAGATATAACATTAAATAATTAATCGGCCAGAACTCCACAGAGGTTATTTCCCTGCGTCTAGAAAACAAATACAAATTTTCCGGGGCATGCCAACAGACCCCGCTCTCCCTTTCATGCAGCTCTGGATCCGCCCCTGAGAGGAACACTCCCTCAAAGAGATGTTCGACCCATATATATATATATATGGGCTTGAAAGTTAAAATTATGAAAATATGAAACATATTTTCAACTGAGAATATCATTGTACATGAAATTAAAAACAATAAATAAATATAATTTCAACAATTTTGTGTAAAGTTTTAGTAATCATTTAATTTTTTTAAGTTTGGCATGACGTTGTTACACTGGATGAGTTCTTGCGATGCACCATGTGGATGGTTCTCGAAGGGGAGATAGTAGTGTGGTTTGGTGGGGTGTGGGGGGCTATTGGCATTTCATGTTGCGTGCTTTGGCCGCCTTTAGGAAAATTTTCTCTTGAAGGTGATTGACGCGTGCTGTTCGAGGCATCGAGAAGTTCACGGCTAGTCAAGGGTCTTTTGTCGGAGTTGTGTCGTAGGAAATTCATTTTATTTTGGCCTATTTTTTTTTTATTTCATTTCAGTTCTTATGCCTTGTTAAGGATGCATCGCCTACGTGGTTGTGTGCCACTGTTACAAAAGTATCATTCCAAGTAAATTGTTATGAAGACTCTTCTGATGCTAAGTCACTCA